CCAACCCACTCGCCTCTGTCTGGTCTGCAGTGTCCACAAAAGTTCCACCAAATTATCACTGGCCCGCTCTTTCCTGGGCAGTTGGCGTGCCCTGAGAGAGCTCAGCCAAATTCCCACCAGTGGGCTCAACCTTGGGAACTCTCCCAGACAGTAGGCGTTGCCCAAGAAAACCCAATTAGGGTCCTACCAGCCTTTCTCGTGGCAGATCAGTCCCACAGCAGCTTGTTTAGTGGCTTCAGATGATGGTTGTCTCCATGGTGTGCTTTTGTGTGCTGACTCAGAATTGGATTGTCCACAGCTGTTGTGTTGCGTGAAGGAGTCTCTAGTGGCCCTGGAGCACCGCCAGGGGGTACAGGGTTTTGGCCAGGCCACCAGGGTGTGCCAAAAGTGTGGGGGCATGGGATGGTGGTGGGGTGGTGTCCCTGGATACAGTTCTGTGGCAGGGATTGGGGGTGCAGGGCTTGGGCAGCGCTGGGAGTTAGGGGTTGCAGTCTGTTCCCAGATATTAAGCTGCCAAGTCACCAGTCCTCAGCAAATAAGACTTACTGCGCCGCTCTGCTTGCGCACTGCGTCCTAGGTTCAACTTTTTGAGGAAATGCTAAACTGCCTTCCAGATTGGTTGTCCCATTTATAACAATCCCACCAAAAGTATATGAGAATTCCAACCTCTCCACATCCTCTCCAACATTTATTACCTGCTGTCCTGTTAAACTGTGCCACTGCCACTGGAGTGAGATGGTATCTCATTGTGGTTTTGAGTTGCATCTCTCTTATTGTCAGTGATTTTGAGCATTTCTTCATATGTCTGTTCACCAACTGACTGTCTTCCTCTGTGAAAAAGTCTTTTGTGTCTTTTGCCCTTTTTTTAACTGGGCTATCAGTCTTTTTCTTGCAGAGGCCCAGGAATATTCTGCAAAATTCTGTTATGAGATACTAGTCTGAGATGAAAACGAATTTGAGAGTGACCCCAGTCAGTAGGTTTTCTTTTCACCCTATTGGAAAACGTTTTTTTAATGCACTCTTTAGAAGGTCCATTCACTGATGTTCATCCTCTATTGGTTGTGCATTTCTGGCTGTATTTGCCAGCCTACCACACACTAGGCTTTCGAAGTTTCATCGAATTTTATCTCTTATGGTCTTTATGGTTTGGGGCTTTACTCTTAGGGTCTCTGATCCACCTTGAGTTGTTTTTTGTGTATTGTGTGGATCCTGTTTCAGCTTTCTTCCAGGAGCAGTCCAGTTTTGGCAGCAACATTTGTTGCAGAATACCAGTTGATCACAGGTAAATAGGTTAATTTCTGGATCCTCAATTAGGTTCCATTGGCTTGTGTGCCTGTCATTGCACTAGTATCATGTTTTTTGGTTACTACCACTGTGTATTAAGTTTTGAGATCAGCAAGTGCTATGACTCCCATTTCATTTTTATTTTTCAGAAGTGCTTTGCTTATTCGAGGCCTCTTTCCTCTCCAAACTGCCTACTGCCTTTTCTCTTTGAAAAAGGAATCTGGTAGGTATCAACTAGGGAAGGTGTTAAACAGGTAGATTTGGATAGGATTTTTGTTTTCACTAAATTGAGTCATCCTATCCATGAACAGGGCACATTTCCCCATTTATTTAGGTCTCTTTCTTTATAAAGTTCTGTTGGATTTACTCCCAAGTATTTGTGTTCAGCTATTATAAATGGTATATTACTTTCTTGGCTTCCTTTTCTAGAATGTCAATGTTCATGTGTTCCATTTAATTTTTCACAACCTCTAGTTTTCCAACATTCATGCTTCATATATTACATGTTCTAAATACTAAAGGATGTGTACCACTATTTTTCCTCATTCCGACTGATTTCCAATCTGGGACCTCCCTCTAATAGTATAACTATCTGTGTTCCTCTACTGTTAATAGGGTTTCGCAACAGCTGGTATTTAAAAAGGGGATGGCTAATCCTGCTTCCTAGTCTGTCTTAAACTGGGAGCTCTCCTATAAACTATTTGCCATGGGTGATCATTATAGCATTTGATAGACAGTGGCATAGCTTTCAGGTTCATAGCAACCCACAAATTATCTCAGTACAGCAAACTGATAGACAAGTGCTGTACTAATTCAAATAGATAAATGCTGTACTAATTCGAACAATGTATTCCCCAAATACAACAACTTGACAATTTAGAGTTGTACTTCTAATAGCAAATCAGACTTCACTCCAATAGACACAAAGATCTGAGTCAAGCCCCAAATAATTGTTAGTTACAAAGAACAAATAGAATACAAAATATAAGAACAAATAAAAAAACAACACATTAATTCTGATGTTATTAGAAAAGGGAAAAACACTAACTCTTACTTCTACCGTTTTATTCCTGAGGCCTAATGGATTAGATAAAATTTAAACATGTGATCTTGAACCAAGAGTAAAGAACATAAACTAAATCATTTGATTAGTTACTTAAACAGGAATGAAAAAGGAATAAAAATTACAATTCAAAACTTTATGGAGGGCATCAGAAAACTATAAAGGCATGTTTAAGAGGAAATGTTCTTTTTTCTTCAAAATTGTAGTTGGAATGAAAGATTATAGAACAAATTCATCTTCCATTCAATAAGAGATAGTGTTCTTGCTTGGCTATGTATGGACAGGTTGGCTACTGTACCTACCTGTATCACTTGGAAAACACACTTTTGTTTTTATGAGCAATACACTTACCTCACTAGACTGTCAATGAAGTTTACAACTTTTCCTCTGAGTACTTCAAACTTGGTTGGCTTCTTACTTGTTCTTAATTCCTTCCTTTCCAGCAAGGACTGTAGATCAAAGAATATATTTTGTTGTCAATCTGAGACAGAAAATCCCTCTTCTCCTACAGAGGAGAACCCTGCTTTGAGGGTAAAGGGAGGTTGGCATCCTTTCCATTAAGACAGATATGTAGAGAAATAACTAAATAAAATACGTACTGCTCATACTCTATTACTGCTTCATCTACGAAAAGGAATTACAAGAAGAAAATACCCTGAATTACAAGAAGAAAATATCCTGGTTACACTAACAAAATAGACTCAATGGGTTTAGATTGAAATTTTAGTTTATATTTATCATAATTTGATTATCATGGTCCTAAGATCTTTATTTTAACGATCAACATTCTGAAGTTAGAGCTATCTGGAAAAAAATGTATTAGACAAATAATGGCTCAATTATGCATCTAGATGAATATGTATAAAAGGAAAATCAAGAATTTGTTGTTGTTGTTGTTATGTGCCGTCGAGTTGCCTGCGACTCATAGCGACCCTATGTACAACAGCCCTAAACTCTGCTCTGTCCTGTGCCAGTCGCACTGTCTCCGACACTCCCATCCCGATTACCCCAGTCACTAAATTAATCTACCTCATAGAGGGCCTTCCTCTCCTGCGCTGTCCCTCCACCCTCCCAAGCAGGATGTCCTTCTCCAAGGACTGGTCTCTCCTCACAACATGTCCAAAGTATGTTAGACGGAGCCTCAGAATCCTTGCCTCCAAGGAGCCACCCGGTTTAACCCTTTCCAAGACTAATCTGTTTGTTTTCCTAGCAGTCCATGGTATTCTCAATACTCTTCTCCAGCACCACAGCTCAAAGGCATCAATTCTCCTTCTATCCTCCTTGGCCACTGTCCAACTCTCTGATGCATAACAAGTGACTGCAAAGACCATGGCCTCTATCAGATGCACCTTAGTCTCCAGAGAGACACCATTGCTCTTCAGTACTTTGGAGAGGTCCTAACAGTAGACTTTCCCATGGCAATGCACCTTTTAATTTCCTGGCTGCTGGTGTCAAGAATTTAAGTACCTAAAAACTAATGAATTAGTGTCTTTTAAATCAGACTGACCAAAAAGTAAACATCATGGCGAGCTCTGGTGGCCTAGTGGCAAGAAGCTGCAACTGCAAGTTCAGAGGTGCACAGTTCAAATCCACCAGATGCTCTGTTCGAGAAGGAGGAACAATGTCCTCCTGTACCAGTCAGATCTGATTTGACGGTACACACAAAAAATAACGAAATTTAAAAAAATAAAGAAAAACCTTAAAAAAAAAAAAACCCCAAAAACCCCAAAAAGTAAACATCGTTGTTTGGTGCTGTCAAGTCGAGTATGACTCATAGTGACCTTACGAACAGTAGTTCTGAGGTTCTGAACCCTGTCCTATCCTGTTCCATCTTCACATTGCCTGACATACTAGAGCCCACTGTGGCAGTAACTGTGTCAATCCACCTGGTCTTCCTCTCCTTTGCCAACCCTTTATCTGTCTAGCATCATATCCCTCTCAAGGAATAGCCTCTCCCAGCAACATGCCTGAAGTATGTGAGATGACGCCTTATCATCCTTGGCTCCGAAGAGCACTTCAGCTTCACTCTCTCTAAGACATATCAATTCATTCTCTTGGCTGTCCATGGGATGGTCAGTGCTCTTGACCAATATCACAACTCATGGTGTCAATTCTTTTTCTGTCATCCCTATTCATTGTTCAGCTCTCAAATGCATAACAAGTTATCAGAGAGATCATGGCCTTAATCAGACCAGTCATCCTCAATCCTGACATCGTTACTCCTCAGTAATTTGAAGAGGTCCCTAACTGCACATTTTCCTAGTGTATTACATCTAGTGCATTTCTATTTCCTGACTGCTTGAACCAACAGTGTTAACTGTGGATCCAAGCAAGACGAAGCTATTGACATTTTCAATCTCCTCTCCATCTAGCATGATTTTGTCTATTGGTCCAGTGGTAGGAATCTTTGTTTTCTGAGATGAAAATCTTTGAGATGCAATCCATTGCGAAGGCTGTATTCCTTGAACTTCTGCAACAAGTGCTTCAAGTCCTCCTCACTTTCAGCAAGCAAGGTTGTGTCATCTGCTTGAAGCAGGATATTGATAAGTCTCCCTCTGAACCTGATGCCACATTCCGCTTCATAGAGTCCAGCTTTTTTTTTTTTTAATGGTGAGAAAAATTTATTACATTTAGAATTAGCCCACTGGACTCAGTTTAGATGATCCCAATTTTGTTGGCAACATCCAAAGCATCATAATCAGGAGCAAGTCGAACATACATAGGCCTTCTTCTCTCCATCAGGCCTAATCAAAGTGTTGACCTTAGCCACATCAATGTCATAGAGCTTCTTTACAGCTTAATTTGGTGCTTATTGGCCTTGACATCCACAATGAACACAAGTGTGTTGTTATCTTCTATCTTCTTCTTAGCTGACTCAGTGGTCAGGGGAAATTTGATGATGGCATAGTGGTCAAGCTTGTTTCTCTTGGGAGTGCTCTTCCGGGGGTATTTGGGCTGCCGTCGGAGTCTCAGCGTCTTAGGCCTCCGGAACGTGGGTGACGTGCGGATCTTCTTTTTTTTTTTTTGGCTGTGGACGCCCTTCATGACTGCCTTCTTGGCCTTCAATGCCTTTGCTTTGGCTTCAGTTTTGGGAGGGGCAGGGGCTTCCTTCTTCGCTTTCGGCGCCATCTTCGTAGAAAGGCGAGTCCAGCTTTTTTAATAATTTGCTCAGTATTCAGACTGAATAGATATGGAAAGAGAATACAACAACCTTGATGCATTCCCTTCTTAATTTTAAATGATGCAGTATTTCCCTGCTCTGTTGGTACAACTGCTTTCTGGTCCAGGTTTAGGTTGCACATGACCACAATTAAGTGCTCTGGAATTCCCACTCTTTTCAATGTTAGCCACAACTTGTTAGGATCCACAAAGTCAAATGCCTTTGCAAAGTCAATAAAGAACAAATTGATATTCTTGTGGTATTCTCTACTTTTAGCCAGGATTCATCTGACATCAGCAATGATATCCCTAGTGTCACAGCCTTTTATAAATCCTGCTTGAACTTCTGGCAGTTCCCTATCTCTGTGTTATTCTGTTTTTGAATTATCTTCAGCAGTATTTTGCTTGCATGTCCTAATAGTGATATTGTTCAATAGTTTCCACATTCTTTTGGATCACCTTTCTTGGTAATAGAAACAAATATGGACCTCTTCCAAATTGTTGGCTGGCCAGCCTCCAAATTTCTGGGCATAGAATGGTAAGCACTTCCAAGGCTGCACTGGTTAATTGAAACAAGTCAACTGGTATCTCATCAATTCCTGGGGCCTTATTTTTTGCCAGTGCTTTCAATGCAGCTTCTACTTCCTCCTTCATTACCATTGGCTACTGCTCACATGGTACTTCCTGAAATTTTTCAATGTTAATCAGTTCTTTCTCGTATACTTATTCTGTGTATTCCCTCCATCTTCTTTAGATTCTCTCTGGGTCATTCAATATATTGCCCATAGTATCTTTCAATATTGCAACTTGAAATTTGTTTTTCAGTTCTCTTAACTTTAAAAAGGAAAAACCAGTTCTTCCCCAGTTCCATCTCTCTGCACATACCATTATAGTACTTTGCTTTGTTCACTGGAGCTGCCCTTTGAAATTTTCTGTTCAGCTCTTCTATTTCGGCATGTGTTCCTTTTGTTTTTGGTTTCTTGATGCTCTAGTGCAATTTTCAGTCTCTTCTCAATTTCCTTTTGGTTTTTTCTTTCTCCTCTGTGTTTGTAATGACCTTTTGCTCTGTTTACGAATATCTTTGATATAATTCTACAGCTCATCTGGTCTTTGATCACAGGTGTTCAATGCCTCAAGATGATCTTGAAATTCAGATGGAATATACTTGCTTCTTGTACACTTATTTTCATTTTCTTTGGCCTCAAGTTGAACTTGCATATGGCCTAGTTCTGACTGCCGATAAGAGTTTCTCCAAGGATTTCTTCCATAGATGTAGTCAATCTGATTCCTATGTAGCCCATCAGGTGAGATCCCTGTGTAAATAAATGAGATTCCCTTTTGGTACATTACTCTATTGATAGTTCATTCTTTCTGGTTCATTATTTCCCTATTGCTAGTTCATTCTCTGCAGTTCTTTATTTCTGAGTCTGTAGGAACTGTTTCCACCTGTGTTGGCTACTAAATTCCAGACTGCATAAAAAGCAGAGTGAGGAAGACAGTGTGATATTCCATTTGTGAGTTACTAAGCCTTCTTTGTTTCTGGCTATGCTTTAAAAATTAAAAATAAATCCATCTAAGTATTGTTAATTTGAAACACAAGAAGAATAAGGCAGAATATGTTGGAAGGAAAATAAAGTGACCTGACCTTCTGAAGGTGATAGAGGTCAGTCTTCGGAAACCCCTTCGGCTGTGACCCAGATCCACCTTCTTCCTCTTTGGCTTGTGCTTTTAATACAAAACCAATAAACGGCAATTAGGGTAGAGACATTAAATTTAAAAAAAATCCAACAAACCCAAAACACAACACAACACAACCAAAACCAAAACTCTTCTACCTATCCAAGAGAAATGTTTTATCCCTTTTTAAAAAAATATAATGTGGAAAGAGATGGAAGTTCTAGCAAATAAGTGGTATCTTCAAAAGCTAATGTTCAATAACTATTACATAACTTATGCTATAGTGGCATCTTAAAAAAATCAGTTACTAAATTCCAATGCTATCACAATTAAAAGAAAACAAAATCTCCCAGCAGGAAGTCTCAAAGTCTTGTGCTGTTACAGCTTACCTAAAAAAAGGAGAAAAAAATGTAACTAGATTTAAACTGTACTGTTTTGATTATGCCAAAATTATAAACTACATAATTCTATACTCTTGCAAGCTTGACCTAGATCTTTCAGTTCATTGAATTACTTTTGACATAACACTAAGGCTGAAGATGACACTGTGTATGAGTTTTTTTTTTAATATTAA